GTATTACATATTTCAACAATGAAATATTTTTATAATATTTTTAACCTCCTGATTAATGGAAGTTGTTGAATATAAAGAAAATATAGTTTGGAATTAATTTCCCTTGTGTATAAATCACACATAGGGTGGTCTATTTATAGTAGAGAAATACAACTAAAAGAGTAACTGAAAGTAACGGAATAAACAGAAGATATTATTTGATATTGTGGTTACCAATATCTAACAATATCTTAACAATATCAAATAATATATAAACAATATCTAACACTCCCCTCAAGCTCGGAGCATACAAATCGTATGTGCCAAGCTTGTTACAAATATAATCAATTCTAGGACCCCGTAAAGATTTAGTAAAAATATCTCGCTAACTGATCACTTGAGTTAACAAACTCAGTCTTGATATCTCCGGACATAATCTTTTCTCGAATAAAATGACAATCAATCTCAATGTGTTTGGTCCTCTCATGAAAGACAGGATTAGAACTAATATGAAGAGCAGCACTGATTGTCACACACAAGTGTCATTTGAGTGACATCTCCAAATTGTAACTCTCTAAGCAATTGCTTGAGCCAAACAAGTTCACAGGAAGCCGAGGCCATAGCTCTATATTCCGCTTCAGCACCGGATCTTGCCACAACACTTTGTTTCTTACTTTTCCATGAAATCAAGTTACCACCAATGGAGACACAATATCCGGATGTAGATCTTCTATCCGAAGGAGATCCCGCCCAATCAAGCATCCGAGTAGCAAACAACTCTTGTATGGTTATTAGAAGCATATAACAATCCTTTTCCAGGAGATCCTTTAATATACTTCAAGATACGAATGACTCGCATTCCAATGATCTTCACATGGTGAATTAAGAAATTGACTTACCACACCGATCGCAAAGGAAATGTCGGGACGAGTAACTCGTAAGATAATTCAATTTTCCAACCAATCTTCTATACCGCTCAGGATCGATATAGGCTCCCCCGATTTGGTAGAAGTTTAGTATTGGGATCCATGGGTGTATCAACAGACTTTGAACTCATCAACCCAGCTTCTTCCAAAATATCTATGGCATACTTCCTCCGAGATATAACAATACCATCATTGGACCGTGCTACCTCAATACCCAAGAAATATCTAAGTTTGCCAAGATCTTTGGTCTCGAAAATGGTGACAAAGATGTTGTTTCAACCGAGAGATGCCATGGTTGTCACTACCCGTAAGAACAATATCATCAACATATACTATCAAGTAAACACATCCAAGCACTCGAGTGTCGATAAAAGACGTAATGATCCGATTCACACCGAGTCATACCAAATTGTTGAACAACCTTGCTAAACTTTCCAAACCAAGCCCTAGGAGACTGTTTTAGGCCATATAGGGATTTGCGAAGACGACATACCATCCTGTAAGACTCCCCGAGCAACAAACCCAGGAGGTTGCTCCATATATATTTCTTCTTGCAAATCACCATTGAGGAAAGCATTTTTAACATCCAAGTTGATAAAGAGGCCATTGTTGAAGAGCAGTACCATGGCGATAAATAAACGAACGTAAGCCATCTTTGCCACAGGGGAAAAGGTATCTCCATAATCCAACCCAAAAATTTGAGTATAACCTTTGGCCACAAGACGAGCTTTGAGGCGATCAATAGTACCATCGAGTCCAACTTTGATAGCAAACACCCACCCGCAACCAACAACAGATTTCCCAGACGGTAACGGGACCAATTCCCAAGTTCCACTATTATGAAGAACACTTAGTTCATCTAACATGGCCTCGACGCCAACCAGGATGGGCTAAAGCTTCACGTACGCTTTTGGAATGGTCACGTAAGAAATAGAGGAAAGACATGTATAAAAAGGTAATGACAATCGATGATAACTCAAAGCAATATAATGGGGAGAGGGATTACGTGTAGAACGAATACCTTTTCGGAGGGCAATGGGAAGGTCGACTCATGTGTCGATCCGGAGGAGACAGAGTAGTTGGCACTTGAGTAGAGTCACATGGTGGTGGTTGTGATTGGTTTCGAGAACTATAAATCAAGAGGCAGTGGAGAAGAAGCTAATCGCGGAGCAGAAACTAATGGTGAAGAAGACACAATTAGAGGGTCACAAACAACAGGAACATTAAATGTATTAGGAGTGTTGACAAGATTGGATGGAGACAGAGGTGAAGTTTGACTTTTAAAATAAAGAGACAACTCATCAAAGGTGACATCTTTTGACACAAAATAACGGTTAAGAGAAGGAGAAAAACATTTTTATCCTTTTTGTGATCTTGTAAACCCTAAGAAAACACATTTATGTGATCTAGGAGAAAGCTTGTCCGCACTGTAATTGAAATTATGAACAAAACATGTAGACCCGAAAACTTTCGGAGGTAAAGGATGAAGTGGTTCATGAGGGAATAAAATGGAATGAGGTATTTTATTATCTAAAACCGAAGAAGACATGCGATTAATGAGATAACATGCAGTAAGAAGAGCATCACCCCAAAAATGTCGAGGAACATCTCCATGAATTAAAAGTGTGCGAGTTGTTTCAATAAGATGTCTATTTTTACGTTCAGCTACACCATTTTGTTGAGGTGTATAAGCACAAGAAGTTTGATGCAAAATACCGTGAGAAGCCATGAATTGTTTAAAAGAATGAGAAAGATATTCACGGCCATTATCACTACGCAAAACTCTAATAGAAACACCGAACCGAGTTTGAATTTCATTAAAAAAAGTTTGAAAGATATGAAATAATTCGTAACGATTTTTCATCAAAAATAACCAAGTGCATCTCGGAATAATCATCAATGAAAGTAACAAAGTATTGAAAACCTAAAGTAGACTTAACGCGGCTAGGTCCCCAAATGTCAGAGTGAACCACGGCAAAAGGGGACGAAGCACCACGTGTGAAACTACGAGGAAAGGAAGTACGACTATGCTTGCCTAATTGACATGACTCACACGCCAAACTAGATAAGTTAGACAAGGCAGGGACAAGTTTCGTAACTTGGCAAGGCTTGGATGACCTAACCGTGCATGAAGAAGAGAGGGAGACTCCATAACCGTACTAACATGTGTAGAGGGACTGGAGATAATAAAGACCATGAGACTCACATCCCGTGCCAATCACCTGTTTCGAACTCCGGTCCCGTAAACACACGAATTGTTGGTAAAAGTAACAACACAATCAAGAGAACGAGTTAGACGACCGATGGACAACAAAGTTAAAAGGAGACCCAGTGGACATAAAGAACATTATCAATGGTTAAAGAAGGAAAGAGTTTAACCGTTCCAACACCATGAGATGATACTCTAGAGCCATCACCAAAGGTAAATGAAGGTAAATGATTAGGAGAGGATAAAGAGGAGAACAAAGATTTGTTACCGGAATATGATCAGTGGCTCCCGAATCAAAAACCCAAGGACCAGGAGAAAATGATTGGGTCGACCAAGCAAAATATGTATTTGTATGTGTGACGGATATAGTGGAACTAGAAGACCGTTGATCCTTATACCATTCGAGAAATTTGTTGAACATAGCGGACATGTCTGATGCAACGTAAGAAGGAAGATCCCCTACGGATAAAGGTGGGGAAAGATTGGTCCGAACAACTACGACAGATCGAGGAGAACGACCATGTAATGTATAACACTTGTTAATCTTGTGACCTAGCTTGCCACAATGTTCACACTTAGGACGCCATTTTTCCCGTTTGCGAGGGCGAGCCCGGTCATCACGATGGGATGTCAACACAAAAGAATCGTTAACAAAATTGGAAATAGTGGAAGAAGTCATGAAGAGCGGGAGAACAAACCCCGACCGAGACAAGCAAAATCATATGTCACCGGTAAAAAAAATGAAACTCCGGCGAATTCTCCGACAACGGCGGACCCAAGGATCGCTCCAGCGGCAGCGGTGACGAGTAACGTGAACTAGTACACTAGGTAAGTTCCCGTGAAAGAGAGGTGGGTCACTAATGGACACACTTAAATACCAAGTCTTTCCTTGCCGTAACTTTCCTAAACATGCACTTTCACACTACCAAATAAAATTCAATGACAAAGATAATTCTTTTCCGATGTGGAGGATCGGCTTACCAAGCAGCGGTGGGGCGGCTCTAGCAACGGTGGGGCGGCTCCAACGAAGTGGACAAAAGGCGGAAAAAAAATTCAAGATAACCTTAAGCTCTAGATACCATGTTGAATATAAAGAAAATATAGTTTGGAATTAATTTTCCTTGTGTATAAATCACACATAGGGTGGTCTATTTATAGTAGAGAAATACAACTAAAAGAGTAATCGAAAGTAACAGAATAAACAGAAGATATTGTTTGATATTGTGGTTACCAATATCTAACAATATCTTAACAATATCAAATAATATATAAACAATATCTAACAGAAGTAATTACTTCTTTCCAACAATGAAATAGTAAATTACATATTTCAAAGACATGAGCACTCTATCCTAATTTGCAAAAAATAAAATAATATATATAATCTGAATATATTGATGTAGTTTGCAACTATATTTTAAAATATATCTCAATGTCTTTTTAACTAATCCAAAAATGTTTTTTTTACATGATTTTGTTAGATTTGTTTTTATAATTTAACCCCCTTTTGCAAAAAAATAAAATAAAAATAAAGCTTTGATTTAATTTTATATTTTTAGTATTACAAAAATATTTTCAAATTTATCTTTAGTTTTTATTTGATATTACATTTGAACAAATATCCACGTGAACGCGTGATATATAATCGTGGTAGATCATTCGAACGATCTTTTTACCACAAAGATTGACAAAACTTTACATGAATTTATATACACAGATCTGTACTTGAAAGACAAAATATGTTGTAGATATCTGAAAGTTGTGGTTTGGCTCTTCTATTTGGATTAGATACACAGAAAAAGAAAGGAACACATGTTACAACAGTATTGAATTTAAACCCAGCTACTTGAAAATGAACTTATAACACACTCTACTATTTTGGTTTCTTAAACCACCTTCCATCTTATCTCAACATGCATCACTCCATTCCTTGAATTTATTAGATTGTATTTGTCATTAATGCGACCATTGTGCACCACATCCCTAAGGTTAATCTCCACATGCCCCAGTGTTTCCTGCATACCATTCAGAATCTAACATCAATATTACAATGGAATTCTGAAAACAAGCTAATTAACTGTAGTAAATAGATTGATGACCACATGGGTTGGACCAAGCAATTGAATTTACCAAAAATTCAATTTTCAATAAATTTGTTTAGACTTTAGAGGTTAAGGTGCTTGTTTTGTAATGAATGAGAATAATGAATCGGCACCTTTGACAGAAAACTAAAGTTCTTCCTCTTGCTCAGGACCTCAATGTGTATCTTCTCATGTTGAGGAGGCTCTTCAAGCATGAATTGGAATTCTTCATTCCAACGCGGGTGACGAGTTTTCCTCATCATCTGCATAAATTTAGATTTTGAAATAAATTGTTTCATCAACATAAAAACTTGCCTGCATCAAATTGTACATAACATGAAAAACATGTTTTTAATGTCTTGGCTCTTGAATAATAATAATAATATTCACATTCAGGAATTCACCAGCATATGCAAAATTACCTAAAATAAATTCATCCCATTTCATAGGTAAATCTAGGCCTAGACCCAACTGTGATAAACCCTTGAGTCACATCTATCTAACATAAGGTGCATGATGACAGCTAAAAGATGGTGTATGTTTGTTTATAATGAAGGAGAAGGTGTACCTTAGTTCTTTTCTTTTCCCCTCTAAAGGTCAGCACTGCATATGGGTTGTTGTGATGATTCCCCTCAACCTCTTCAGCCTCTATTATCAGAATTGAAAGCAAACCTGCTCCTTCTTGAACCTCATCATCGGATACGCTATCAATTCCACTTTCCTTCCTGCTATATCCTTCCCAAGGTCCACCAAACTTGCTGCTATCTTCTCTGAAAGGAACAAAAGTCAAGTCCACCACAATTTTCCCTCTAGGCTTTTTATGTGGAGTTTCGTTGATATTTGTGTCCTTCAGTAAATCCAGTGTAAATTCTTTATTCTCGTACGGCTTAAGCAGCTTGAGAGGGACCAACTGCATTCCCAGCTTGTCATGTCCACCAACCTGATAAGAATACAAATTATAAAAAATATGGGTCAAACATAGATAAATTGCAATTTCACCAATAACTTTTGACCAAATAAAGTGGTTGATTTCTTCTAGTCACGTCAATGGATCAAATGGACAGAGATGACCAACAAGATTGAAGAAAGATACTGTTGATGTGTCAGTATTGTCAAAACCAACAAACCTTACATGTAATCAATCAAACATGCACACAAATTGAAAATGCAGTTGTTCGTTGCTAGTTGAGGACTGACTGAGGCTTTTTGTAGTAATGAAACAAATTTACATCTCCCAAAAATAGAAAAAGTAATCATCCGAAAGAATTTTATAGTTACTGTCCATCTAAGATGTAACTGCTGCATGTTAATTATAATTGTTTATCTACACATAATTAGCTTCAAATAACTATACATTTCTTGATGAAAAAGATGATAACCATCATAGATAAGATTTTAATGTTACGTTTATTCTGTCAAAATTGAACAAGTAACTAAAAGAAAGATGAGGAAGACCTTGTCCCAGTCATAAACTTGTAATTGAAGAACTTGTGATTGAGGGTCCTTTACAACAATCTTGAACTTCTCATTCCACTCAGGATTCAAATTCTTTCTCTTGACAGTGGTTTTCTTTGCAGGAAGTTTGTCTCCTGTCAGACTTAGTTTAACATAAGGATCAGAAGTTCCCAGCAAATCCATCTTCAAAAGCTTTTGTGCACGAACCACATTCACATGTAATATCCCCACAGGCTTCTGTATTGCTACCCTGTCAGAGATTTGAAGAAAGTATCAGGAATCATTTTTCATAGAACAAAAGATTTTTGGGAACTTAAACTTCAGAAAATTGCAGAAATTTTTTAACAATATTCAGGTCATGTTTAGTAAGATATTGGATGGCTGCGTGTAATTCCTTCCACTGTAGACCACTGATAAATAACATGTTACTATCTTTATGAGCATTTTAAAACATGTTATCCTTCAACTTCAGATGAGGAGCAGGAATTTTTTTTTTCTTTTTTATAAATACTTTGAAAAGGCAAGATAAAAATTTATAAATGTTATAGACCAGAAAAAAAAATGAATATTGTTAACTCTTATCATTGGATACAAACTTACGTTGATTCATCAAGAATAGGAATTTCCAGGGTTCGAGGCCAGAGATAGAGATTTGCAACTTGTTTTTGTATTATTCCCTGTATGCAACATCTATATCTGTTAGTTCTTGAACTCCAGTTAAATAATGAAATTCCATTGCAATTGAAAGTGCATGAAGAAAAATATGATGCCAAGGAAGTAACAACAAAAATAACCCTTTACCAAATTTTTGCACGGGTTAAAATAATCCAACAGATCACTAAATAACTGAAGATTATATGTGCCTAGGAGTAGTGGATCAGGCAAAAACTAGAGGCACAAAGTTCAGAGAACGCAGTGGTTAACCAGTACAATTTAGTAAAGGAAAAATACAAATAGAAAATTTAATTACCAGTAAGTTTACTACTACAAATATTTTAATGCAAATAGAAATTAAAAGCAAAAGGTTAAGATAGATGGAAGCACCTGTACAAATCTATAGAGACCAGGTATTGACATGATGTCCCCTCCAAATACTCTTATCCCAAAATCCACATGAGGCTGGATATTAAACATAATTAATTACAAAAGAAAGCATTCGTCTAACTTCTAACATTAGAAAAGGCATCTAAGCTTGAGTACTATATTTCCTTTACCTTCTCCAACAAAGATACCACAATATTTGCAAAACATGGAAATGTAGGCACCAAAGGTCTTAAAGTTATACGTGGTGCTGCAAATATTTGTAAGTCCACCAACTGCAACGAATCAAAATGAATTTCCAGAAGGAAAGCATAATCTGGAAGGATCTTAAAAAAACATTTACCATTTAGGATTGTGCCTCAAGGGTAATCTGACCTGAACGGTGATCTTCAAAGATGACACATACAAGGACAACACGATGTTCGGATTGCCAGCCCATTTGATAACTTGTTCCATGACCAATTCCTTTTCATTTGTTTCTAGAACTTTAATACCTGCAGAATCACCACGTAGAATTAAGAAAAAAAGAAGAAGAAAGATAGAGTACTAGAGTGCCTAGACTTTAATAACTCGTATAACCTATCAGATGACAAAGGCTCCAACAAAATGTTGTGCAAACTTACTGAGGTAAGTTGGCTTTTGATGAGGATGGTTAAGAAAAAACATCCGTAAAATGATGTTTTTCTCACCAGGAGTTATTCAACTGAAATTATTTTCTGAAGTGCATCTGTACTTTAAGCTTCCAAAGGATTCATCCTTAATCATACATTTCATGCAAAGACTCTTGGCAAAGGCCAGTGAAATTACAATAGACATATCAAATACTTATGTTCTGGTTATTGGAGCCAAGAGTATAATTCAATTTGCCTTTCCTAGTACTACCACCCAGTAATTTCACTAAGTCGTGTTCATTCTAGCACCCAAAAATGCAAAAGAAAACTACAATTAGTTATGACTCTCAACACAATCTTTTCGTCCGTGTGCAAAATAGATTAGATGACATTAATATCAATCTTTTCGTCCGTGTGAAAACCATCCTAACTAATCACTCTCTAATCTGAAATTTCATTAAGGACAGTGAAATTTCACGATTATATTACAAACACTTGTATTTGAGGGAAATAAATTTGGATAAATATTTGCAGAAAAAGATCAGATGATCTAAGAAAAGACTTACCGCAGACAGTAGGAGGAAGAGTACCAAGACTTAACTTGTCAAACTCAATCGCTTTGATCTGATACTTCCCAATGTATTCAGCAAATATCGGCTGTGCCGTGCTTCTAATAATCTTACAAATTGCCTGTACACCAAAACGAAAACACCATTGAAGAATCATCCAACAAGTGCACAATCACACCCATGTGCAAATGGAATCACAGAAATACCGTGTCTAAGAAAGGCCACATATCCAACAAAAACTTGTTCATCCAATCAACCTGAAGAACATGCAAAATCAATAACACAGTAACACCACCACCATCGTAAACCTTAAAAAAAAAAAAAAATCAAAACAAGAAAACAAAACAAGTTTATAAATTGTATCACAATTCACAAAACTAACTCGTTCATATTCAGGCGTCTTCACCCAGAGAGGAATCTCTGGTAGAAGTTCCCCCAAAGCAATTGGGCCCAATTCACTAATTGGCCTAACAACTGGGTCCTGCAACGTTGAAAAAAAAAATCAGATTTTGAAGATCACCCAGGATTCGAAACGTACAAGGGGTGTGGACCCAAAACCAGTTTCCAAAAGGTGATCAGAAGAAATGCATGTGCCAGTGTTGAGAATTGGAATAAAATAGAATGAACATGCACGAAGTTGTTAACCTTGACATGTTTGGTTTCCGAGTAGACAAAGAGAAAAAAGCCCACAATGAGGCCAAGAGGTATTCCAATAGCAAAACCGATAACCCCGAGGAAACTGCTCACCAACCCCATTTGGGTGCTTAGAGTGATGGAAGAAGAAGTGAATGGTGATGAAAACGAGCAGAGGAGAGAACCCAAGAAAATGGTTTGATAGTTTTGGAGGAAAGCGAGAAAAACTAGAATGGTGCGATGTATGTGAGAGCGAGAGAGATTACTAATGAAAGCGCCAAAAACAGAGACACCGCACCACCCTGTTTTCACTTCAATGCAATACAATAGGCCCTGCCTTTGCCTATGCAACCATGTACAACAAAACTGCCTCACTTCCTTATTTCAAATGCTGCGTCATCCCTTCCATTTCCCTTTCTATCATTTCATTTATTTCAAACTATATTAGTTATTATTCTGCAAGTCAATTGTGTTTTAATTCGCTTCATTTTATTTCTTAGAAAAATATTTTAGATTTTATATTTTAAAAACAATAATTTTGATTCTTTTTATTTTTTTACTATCCCTCAATTTTATCTTTTCCAACAACAAAATTCACCTTTTATAAACAAAAAACTTCCTCCAAACTCAAATATAATATAAGAAATAACTAATTTCATATTAATTGAAGAACAATTTAGTTTTACTAATATCAATTCAAAAAACTCTTTTAAAAATATATTTATTATAGAATCATCATTAAATGAAAGTTGTTTAATGAATAATTTACAAATAATTAATTGGATTAACTTTTTATTTAAGTCAGCCATCATTTTTGTTTTACTTATTTGCGTCCAAGAAAGTAATATATCTAAAATTATTGGTTTTTAAATACAGATATCAAGATCAATTTAAAAAAAATATTATTACGAAAAAAAAAACACTTTGTATTATTAATTGTGTCAATTTTACATATATTAATGTATAAGCATTTACCATTATAAATAATTACGCTATCGTACTTGTCCAAGTTTGTTAAAAAAATGTAAATTTATTTAGAAGCCAAAAAATAAAAATAATTATACAACTAATATATTTGAGTATTTATTTAATAGTGGTAATTCATTTTATATCACCTAAGAATCAGAAATGTCAATTGAAAACAAAGATAGATACAAAAATGCTAAACTTTAGTACAACGGAATATGAAACTATAAAAAGGAGAAAATTAAAAAGTTCACAGAATAAAAAAAAAAAAATCAACTGTAACATAACCTATATATACTATCTACTAGATACTATTTTTCAAAATTATTTTGGTTTTCAATCTTATCTCTATCATTAATAAATGTTGTAACAATGTTTTTTAAGTAAAAAAATTATTTTTATTTTATTTAATATCTGTTTTTAAACTATTTGTGATAAAAAAATGAACACGCAACACCTATTCTGTCGTTGATACAATAATATCATATTTATATGGTTTGCATTTCTATTATAATAAAATAACATAATTTAAAAAAAATATATTAACAAATTAAAATAATAAATAATTCTAGAAGAGTAATCTTGAAAAGATTGCGTAAAATAAGAAAAAAAATACTGTAAGTGAATTAAGTCTATTTCTAAATTATTTAATGTTTAACGTTTTTAAAGTGAAAATATTATGTAATTATTTATAATACAAAATATCCAGTTATTTATTTATATTAATATTAAACAAAAAAAATATTTGTATTCAATAAAAAGTAAAATGCTGTAATTTTTATAATATGGAAAATTTATCATACAGTTGGAAAGCGCGTGGGGTTAAATTTTTGTGTTGACGCGTCACTAGCAGTCAGTTGTCAGCTTTTGAACCCTACCCACCTTGGACGTTTGTAATATGTTGCTTTACGGGCCATTTGGCGGTTACATAGAAGGATCAAAAAACGTTTTTTAACTTTACTTTCAATTGTTCTTCATAAATAAATTTATTTGAATAAAAGTAATTAAAAATAAAATGCACAATAACAAGAATATTTACAATTTACGGGGCAATACAATAATTATAATCTGTAAATTATATAATAAAAAAAAATGGTCAACATAGTATATATTTTTTAAAAGATTAATTGCTAAAGTAAAATTCGTGTTACGTTATTAAAACAATTAATTACACAATTAATAAAAAAACTATATTTATATATTAAAAATTTCAAGATACATATATTATTTAAAAAAACTAAAAAAAAGGAAATTTGGGTTGAAAATCTTTATAAATAGGTATAGGATTACTTTTGATTTAAAATTCTCGTAAAATTGAAGCGGAAGAAATTTTTTTTATTCGAGGATAATGTTTATGAGTAAATATAATAGGACTAAAATAAACTATATATTTAATTTGAAAGTAACAGTTTTTTTTTTATGAATTTAATTAATACTCGTTGACTAATCCACATTCACATATAAAGCGTGAATTGAATTTGCAACTGGGCCACAATTAATTAATAGATTAAAAAATAAACATTTTCTTGAAAATAAAAATAAAAATACACAATAATCTCTGTTTTACTATCTCTAATTGTTTGCCCTAATCATTTTATGTGTTTTCATTTTTTTTAATTTAATTATTTCAGGATCATTAGTTATAGGTGGCACATGCATTGTGTGGATGATGAAAACTTTTAATATCATCTGACTTTAATTTTAGATGTATCAATTACATTGACCCGTTGTGTTCGGGTCGCATTAATTTTTATGATTAATAACAAGTTGTTTTACACTATATGTGAAATATTAAAATAAGTTTTTTTCTTTTTTAATTTTTAGTTGGCAAAAATAACAATTATAATATTTAATTATAAAAAAAACTTATTGACAAAATAATGATGGTTATCGCCGTAAGAAAAATGGTTGTTGTTACATCTCTTGATTTTTATTTTTATTTTTATAAAAGTTAAATAATTTTTTTATTCTATAAATACACTATTTCCCATATTTTCCAAAAAATATTTCAGTTTTTTAAAATGCTGTAACTCATGTTTATTATTTTATAAAAATTATCCGTGAAATAAATACCATTACCTAATTACATTCTATTTTAACTATACGTACATGATAATAGAATAAAGTAATAGAAAAGTTTTGAGTTTTAAAAAAAGAATTTCATTAATTAATTTAAAATGAAAATATGTATTAAAAAAAAACTGTAGTTGTGTTTGGTTTGAAAGAAATGGCACGGAACAGCTGTTTCATACGAAAGTAACATATTTTTCATAGCAGAATATAACCAATTAAGGTTATGGCCCACGATTTTGGGCAAGAAATTTCGTGAAATGTACCATTTTCATTTCCTTTTCATGCAAATACTTGTTTCTGAGTTCCATTAGATAACTATGATTTCGGTAGCGTATATGAACAGCCATCTATTATTGCTTAGTTATCTTCATTAACGAAGGAGGAGTTAAGAATATACCCTTTCTTCACCCTAAAATAAATTAATTGAAGTGATTACTTAGTGATTAAGATCTCATGGGATGTGTTGAAATACCGATTCTCTTGTTTGTTTTGAAGTCACATTGACTAGGCCTTCTGTTCGCCAGCGTTGCTAAATGCTAAGCTACGTGAAATATTTGGACAAAATAATATTTTTCTACGAATCAATGTCACATGGACTTAGAAGAGTTTCAAAATATTGTTAAGATTGTGTATTTAAGATTATTGTTTTATTATTTTAATCACTTAAGGTTGGTCAACCACTCACTAAGCAATTGACGACGTGATATCATACACCATGCTTTTAGCATACAATCAAAATCATCTGTAATGCGTATCTTTCCTACTATTTTATTTATTTTCTGTTTTTATTTATAGAAATTTTCACAAACACATAACACAAAAATTATCAATGGCTTTTTTCGTTTCTGTTTTTATTGTATACTACTAAGATGCGTGTAAGCTTTCTATTGTGAGTGAGACCAGATTTTAGTCATATGTGGAGGCAATTGAATTTTCATCTCTAGGGTCTCAACATATCCTTCAAGCACATGTTGTTATAATTTTGACTTGATTACAACTTGTTGGAGTGATCACAGTTTGAAGCCACGTATTTTTGTGTTGCATTTGATGACTTGTACCATCTTTCTTCACAATAATATCAAGATATTTTTTTAATTTTCATTGTATTGAGTTGTGTCAGAACTATTTGTGTTTCGCTCATATCATATTTTTATTCAAATTGTTAACTTATTTTTTAAAAATAACATAAAATTAACCTATTTTCAGAAGCTAGTTTTTGTAATAGTTAAACTACATACGAAAAATAGTTTTTTTTAGTGTATTAAGTTACACCTTTTCAAAAATGCGAAAATCAATTTTTGAGAATAATTTTTTCGTTAAAGAAAAAGAATAAATGGTGAGAGGATGTTGTTCTCAAGACTAAGCTCATAGTAATGAGGGCCTTATTAATCTCGTGTCCGCGTAGCCCAATACACGAATCACTTGTTTCCATTGCGTCTCTCTCAACGAAAGAAAGGCCCGTAAAAACAATTAATAAGATTGTTTTGGTATTAAAAATAGAAAAGAGATAGATAGATTATGATTTGAAGATCCCTGTGATTAATATATTGATAACTAACATTTATTTATTAAAAAAAAAACTGACACTGAAAAATGAAGATTTAATTCGATTGAAATCTCCTAATAAGACATGAAACCTCCGAACAATCAGTAACCTTAGAAAAAACATACGGAGTTTGGTCTTATCGTGTAAGTTTTCATTACAATTAATGCTAATTAATGGGTCCATTGTCCCATTTCATGGTCCAGTAAAAACTCATCCCAAATTTCAATCAATTTAAAGGCTCGTTACTGCACCAAACTTGTAAACACAAGTAGTTGGTAATGGAAATCACCATCACATTAAGAGAAGTAATCAAACCATCTTTGCCCACACCAGATGACCACAGATTCTTCCCACTCTCTTTGTTTGATCAGCTTCAACTTGTCACCTATTTGCCAATGGTTTTGTTTTACCCCAAGAAAGAAGGGTTCTCGGAACCCTCTCATATTTGTTCTCAGTTGAAACGGTCACTATCCGAGACACTAACCATTTTCTACCCTGTGGCAGGCAGAAGAGAAGACCACACCTTCATCACTTGCAATGATGAGGGTGCTCTTTACTTGGAGGCCAAGGTGAACCATACCATGGTTGAGTTTCTCACACCACCCAAGCTAGAATTTCTAAACAAATTGCTCCCATGTGAGCCTAACAAGATGCACTCACACACAGAAGCCTTGCCCCAAGTACTTGTACAAGTCAACATATTTAGTTGTGGTGGAATAGCTATAGGTACATGCAATCTGCACACTCTTCTTGATGGATGCTCTGGTAGCCTCTTCCAAACTACTTGGGCTGCTACCTGCAGTGGCTCCAGGGAGAAAGTTCCCTCTCCTGATTTCAGTTCTGCTTCCTTTTTCTTTCCACCGGTGAATCATTTGAGTTTTCATGACCATGTTGATCAAAATAATGAAGATTCAAGTGCACAAAAAATGTGCACCACTAGGAGATTTGTTTTTGGTGTAGAAACCATCGACATTCTAAGAGCTGAAGCAAAAGATGACGATGATGATGATGAACCCTCAAAGCCTCTTACCCGATATGAAGCACTGGCTGCTTTCATTTGGAGGCACATGACACTTGCATGCAAGATGGAATATGGGGATAGCACAACACCAACAGTGGCCATTCATATTGCGGACATGAGGAGGAGAATGGGTGAACCTTTCTCTAGATACACAATAGGCAACATTTTGTGGCCAGTGATGGTGTTTTGTGAAACAATGAATGCAGAGACTAGTGGTAGATATTTGGTTAGCATTGCTAGGGAGAAATTTGGAAAGCTTTCAAGGGAATTGTTTCTAAGAGTGAAAAATGATCCCAGTATCTTAGGGAGTAGTGAGTGTGTGGATCTGCCTGAGGGTATAAAAACAAAAAGTCCAATTCCAGTTGTCTTTACAAGTTGGTGTGGTTTGAATTTCAGTGAGCTGGATTTTGGTTGGGGGAAGCCTTTGTGGGTTGGTGTGAGAGGAGGGGATCAGGAAACTCTCCCCAATGTAGCTGTTATCATGGAAACAGATGCAGGCATGGAAGCTTGGTTGACAATGGAAATGCAACATATAGCTAACTTGGAAGAAGACATGGAGTTTCTCAGATTAGCTTTGCCTAATCCTAGTCTTTCAAACATTTAGCTTTGTATTTGAAGATGGATTAGGTACACTAGAAATATATGAATTTGAGGGAAAAATGAATCATAAAACTGAAATTACTTGAGTTAAGGGAAAGATGGTTAAAAAATGATGATAAATGAGATGAAAAGTTTATGAGCATATTAGTTTGATAGGTTAAAAAAAATATTTAATTGATAAAATTATCTTTATGTTTAAAAAGTAATTTTTTATAAAATGTAGTTGATATAATTATATTAAAATGAAATATCAGTGATTATTTGAAATAGAAAAGTTTTAATGGATGAAATTCATTTCAAATGAATTGTGGGTGTTTATTTTAAATAAAATAAAATTATATTTTGAATATATAAAATTATTTTAAATTAAAATGTGATTGTTTAAAGTTAATTTAAATTAAAGTGGCTTGTTAAAAAAATTATTATTTTAATGAAAATAAGTTACATGTAATTGTTCATGACAATTAATAAAATTAAATGAATTATGGACTTAAATAATTGTAAGATAAGATTAGTAACAATTATAATTGAATACAAATTTGTGTGATTAGTTAACTTAAATTATTTTAGTTTATATGTTATTAATGTTAAATAAAATATTAACAATAGATTTTGATTAAATAAATTACATACTATGTTATAGTGTGATTCTCTTTCATTTTGAAATATCTAAAACCTAGGTATTTTCGAAGGGGCTAACAACAGAGGGATTTTCACAAATGGGTCATGAGTCAACCATATAAGTGAATATGACATTACCTTCAACCAAAAACCTTAAAGCATTAGGTTATGGGTCTTTCTCACTTATAAGTTACTCAACTTTCTCATTTCTACCTAATGTGGGATTTCAAACTCATACTTGAATTCTCAACCTACTAAATGGTAAAAAAGTAAAATAATAAAATATTAAAAAAAAATAGACTAATGTAAGAATTCAGTGGTCATATATCATATAAACATTAAACAAGGAGTAAAATAACATTGAAAAATATACTCAAATTATAATAATTGAAATAAAGTGAAATAAACAAAATAATGATACAATTTATTTGAAGGAGTTATGAAGGTTGTCAAATCATTCTTTCAAATAATTCATTTTTTCAGTGATAATGTCGAAACCTCTGTGTACAGTTAGGTTCAAATCCGCTAAACCATTTTTCATCCCCTACATTTTTTCTTGCATGTCCTAAATACCTCTCAAATTTGTGATAACATTTGACCATCATGGGGTACTACATATGACTAGACTGACTCATGGTGGATAGGATCTTGTGGTCCAATGTCGGTAACATCATCGTGGGTATTACATGGTCTTCGTCTTCATCATTTTTATCGTCCTAGTTTACCCTTCCATATTATCATATGTCGTTGATGTTAATAATATTTAATTTGTTGAATGTTCTTCTACCAAAGTAATGTGTCCAACCCAATAATATGATAGAGGAATCGAAGGTAAAGTCGACCCCATAATGAACCATTATACATGTTATGAAAATGGCGTATGGAATATGCATGTTATTGTTTCTGTATTTCAACACGTGTTGCATAATATGATGTAGTAAATAAATTAGAATATTTATTTTCAAGACCCACAACATAAAAATATATCTTCCTGCATCAGTTTTGCAAAGTTTGTGGCACGAGGAGTCAACATATGAATAATTGTGTGATGCAAATATCCAAACTTCCTGCATTCCTCACATTATGACCTTAGACTTCTAGTCTAACCATGGTGGTCAATATCATGTTCTGATCGTATTGCATGTCTTTAGAGATAATAAGAAATGACATCTTGTGACCTTGATATTTTAAATTAGTCATATTCAACCATGATCCAACCCTAGTTGCGTGAAGTATAAAAATTTCATTATTTTTTGCCTTAAAACTTTCTTCTTCGTTAAAGGTCTTATTAAACTTTACAATATGATCATGTGTGTTGAACTAACGAGTTTGATTTAATATGTTCTCAACATGTGAATCCAGCGTAGGAGGAATTGCATGATCAGATGCAAGAGTATGATCATATGCAATAACTTTTCCTTTTTTTGCCCGTGTCACTTTCCTGTCTTTTAGCCAACGAAGAGGAAGACATGCCTACAAAATGTTGAAGATATGAAAAGTGTGAATATAAGTCTTAATATAACATAATGCAATTAATCATAATCACTAAATGAAAAAATGAAGACATAAATGAATACAAGCTGTAATACAACTTTTCCTTATTTTGCCCCTGTCACTTTGCTATCTTTTAGCCAACGAAGAGGAAGACATGCCTACAAAACGTTGAAGATATGAAAAGTGTGAATACAAGCCTTAATACAACATAATGTAATTAATCATAATCACTAAATGAAATAAATGAAGACATAAATTCAAATAGAAATAGATGACATAAATATTATAAGAATTGTGTTGTAGTTGTTACATATTTAGATAAGTACATCAAAGTTAATAAGTTCTAAACCCTAAAGACAATAACATCACCTTCTTCTAGCCATCATACCGACTAACTTGTTGAAATAACATTTTGGTGGCAACCCAAATAGGCGTTTAGTGTGTGACGATTCACACACAAAAAGTCGTAACACTAGTTCATTATTTGTTCGTCATGAATTTGCATGTCAACTAACAATTGTTAAATATTAGTTTCAGAGTATTGAATGTGTGACATTTGTTGTAGTAGTTCATTTTTCTGTTCAACAATAATGACTTGTCTTTCGACTTATATGACTAATTTTTCTGAGATGTCGTTACCTCTACCCATTTTTTACAACAATATCCAATTTGGTATTCAAATTATTAAACTAGGTTTTCACGACATATATCATCAAAGTTTTTCTTTTTTCTTAGCCCCAGAAAGAGGACATACCACTAGAGGGAATGGATATAGTTCGTGCTAGACTATAGTAATCTATGTATGGGGTGATCAAGGAATATCTGTTGTATCATGAAATGTGGGTTCCTCTAGGATGTACTCCATGTCATCATTCAAATCCACCATGTAAGTTTGTTTTTGGATGCGTTGACAAATTTGACGTGTTATACTTAGTTCATGTCCAATGACACGATCAATACCTTATAGTTTCTTCATCAAATCAAAGTGTACGATGGGGGTGAATTTCCACTTAACAACAGAGGATTTTGCCTAAAAATCATGAACACACATAATAAATAAGACATTGTTAAGCTTTGACTATTTATTATCATAAAGAAAGTTTTATAGTACACCTATATTAAGTCATCTCATACTTTTAATTCAACCTCGAACAATCTAGTGGATTCACTCCATACAAACTCATTAAGACCAAGAAAAAGGTCATGAACCTTATAGTCACCTGTCCTTGAGGCTCTTTTAAGTATTTTTAACATTGTTTTTTTATACCGACCAACCCAAACTATATGAGGGACTCAACAATATTATTATACATCTGTATCCAACTACCATAAACTCAATTGCCCAAACAAGCCCCATCAACTATGATTGTCAGTAGCCGTAAGTCCATGTATATTATCCATTTAATAAACTCTCTGATTCCTGCAGACTCATGAACACTCCTTCTGCCTTTATTCATGATTTACCTATTGTAAACACAACTTTTAAAAAAATCGTAACACAATCATATATAAATATGGTTGAACAAGAAATTACTTAATAAGTCAATAAAGTCAATGACAACATTTTTATTAATTAAAATAAATAATATAACATCTTAATTATTTTCGCAATCTCTCCACATATTCTTCATAATAACATCTCTAAGGTTTGACCCTAGTATATAATCAAATCTTGAGTGTCGGATGACTAAACTTCTTGTTCAATCTGTTAGAATCACGTAGCGAAGTGTTCGCGTTTAGGGACAAAAACAAGAGGGAGGTGAATTGGTTTCTTAAAAAAAAAATTAGGGTTTTAAAATTTTTCCCAAATTTCACCAATTAAAATGCTTGTAATGTAAAGAGATAAGGGAAAAAAGATTACACAAATGATTTATACTGGTTCGGATCAAAAGACCCTACGTCCAGTTGTTAATCACTCTAAAAGAGGATTAACGTTGTCACTATAATCACATGTTACAACAGATTACAAATTGAGAAAGATAAGGAATATAAAACACCTCTCTTGAGTCACACAAAAGATGAACACCTCCTTTGAATCCACAAAGGATGAACAACAGCTTTTCCTAGAGACGACACAACACACAATCCACCAAGAAACACACTCAGTGATTCTTATCGCTTCTAGCCTACACTAGGTTTTCAAAAGCCCATTTTTCTTCCCTACAGAAAGTCCTCTAGCAATTACAACTCTTAACTTTTGTATGAAAAAGGATTGTTATTTTTCAGAGAGCCTTATAGAACCTTAAGTAGAGAGAATAGGGTATGAGAAATAATGATTTTCGAAAACATAAGAATTGGGAATATGGTTTTCATAAATTGGTCGAGATTTGAATTTTAAAACTCATAACAGACGTAGAAAATCAATTATCTTGAGTGATAATCAATTATTACAGAGCTATTTTCGCAGATGAGTAAAACAAGATCAGAATAATCGATTATCTGTGTAAATAATCGATTATCTAGCTGGGATAATCGATTATCCTGAGTGATAATCGATTATCACAACAAGGTTTTCATAAAAACAATTTTCAGTGCAGGATAATCAATTATTCTAAGTGATAATCGATTATCTAGAGTGGATTTGATAAAAATGAGTTTTCAGATGATGAACTATGTGCTGACTATCTTGTACTCTAATTATATAGACTCAAAAACATAAAACAGAGTTATTACAAGTAAATACACATGATTCTAAGTCTTCAAGTCTTTAAGTCCTTTGTTTTTGAATCATCATCAAAATGGTCAAGCTTCATATCGTTGTATGTTTAACAATCTCCCCCTTTTTGATGATGATCAAAATTTGCTTTAAAGCCCATTGTAATAACCTATTTTAACTATCATAACTTAAAAGACTATTAAACATACCAGACATCATTAAAATTATTAAAC